GAATATTGTCTCTACTAACGAATATGGAACAGAACATGAAGGTTTACGACCAAAATCTGGAACTCAATACTTGTCTGGGTGTTCGGAGCAAGGGTATGTTGAATTATGATGACGAGGAGATCTCACTACAGAGATCAACACGCTTAGTACTCGTGAAGCAACGGCAACGATTATAATGATCGGGTTCCAATGATTGAATATCAATACAACTCTTTAGAAAATGCTTATTAATTCCATGGCTATTCAAACATCTGCAATAGATATGTCAAGTTTTAATGTAGATATGCAAAAATATTGTGTTACTATCATATCAAAAGTTAATAAAGCGTCACGTTGTAACCAAATCATGCCTAGTTATATATCTCCGGGTATATCTGACCTTAAAATTATACTGCAGAATCACCAAGGCGGTTACAGCTGAAATTTTAAGAGCCACCAAATATATAAGCTTATCGCAAAAATCACATATATCTTGGCAAGGCTCGAAGGATCAAATCATTTCTTTATTCTGTATCAGTAAGGTTTAAGGCCTCATTTACTAATGATTTCRCAACATCATGCACAACAAAGGGTACGTGTCAACCCTGCATACAGGGTCTAGTTACTTAATCATCCGGGAAATTACAATAAGGAAAAACAATGTCATATTGACCACTACCTGGTTTATGTCTTGGATATGGCATATTTTACTCATCGAATAGGGTGTGGAATTTCACGATTTTGCTGTCTTGATCGAATATGGTCAGAGTGCCGTTGTATCAGTGGGGCAAACCTATTCGTCGTTGTGGTGGTAGTATCGTTCACTGAACAAGAACTCACCACTACCTAAATTTGGCCGAATTTTGCCATTAATCAGTTTAAGTTTGCCCGTTTTTGTTGTTAAACTGAGAACAATACGCATGAATATTTAGCCACTTTATATTTTATTCTTTAATCATATATATGAGAACGGACAGCACGAAAGGGGGTTAAATATTAAAGACCCGTTTTGAGGCAGCGAGTTTTGAAGAGCTCTGCGAGGGCCTGGGGCGAGGAACACTGGTCGTCAAGCATTTGAAGGTACCAAGACGAGCTGGTTTCACCTTTGATCTTCTTTATCTCAGATATTTGTGGATTTGAGGGCAGCCACTTTGCTGTCGTATTAGCGTTTTTTTGCCTCAGCACATTCACGTTGGACTGCATTCCGATACTGCTTAAAGAGATCAGACTCTTTTCCCATGATGTGAAGGGTGTTTTGGCGTTTGGCAATTAGGCGTTTAATTTTTCAAGCACTATAACTTTCTTTCATTTCTATATCATGTTTATCATAGTGCCATGCGGTCTTCATATTCATATCTTTACATTATTCTATTACCGCAACCTTAACATCTATTTCACCCCGACCTGCTCCCAGTCTGGCCTTGTAGCTCAGCTGGTAGAGCATCGGTGTACAAATCCGAAGGTCGTGGGTTCGAATCCCAGCGAGGTCGGAAATTAATTTTTCCGAATTTATTCCTAAGGGACTTCTCCCGGAATTGCCTCCTTCTAAGCACTATAACTTTCTTTCATTTCTATATCGTGTTTATCATAGTGCCATGCGGTCTTCATATTCATATCTTTACATTATTCTATTACCGCAACCTTAACATCTATTTCACCCCGACCTGCTCCCAGTCTGGCCTTGTAGCTCAGCTGGTAGAGCATCGGTGTACAAATCCGAAGGTCGTGGGTTCGAATCCCAGCGAGGTCGGAAATTAATTTTTCCGAATTTATTCCTAAGGGACTTCTCCCGGAATTGCCTCCTTCTAAGCACTATAACTTTCTTTCATTTCTATATCATGTTTATCATAGTGCCATGCGGTCTTCATATTCATATCTTTACATTATTCTATTACCGCAACCTTAACATCTATTTCACCCCGACCTGCTCCCAGTCTGGCCTTGTAGCTCAGCTGGTAGAGCATCGGTGTACAAATCCGAAGGTCGTGGGTTCGAATCCCAGCGAGGTCGGAAATTAATTTTTCCGAATTTATTCCTAAGGGACTTCTCCCGGAATTGCCTCCTTCTAAGCACTATAACTTTCTTTCATTTCTATATCGTGTTTATCATAGTGCCATGCGGTCTTCATATTCATATCTTTACATTATTCTATTACCGCAACCTTAACATCTATTTCACCCCGACCTGCTCCCAGTCTGGCCTTGTAGCTCAGCTGGTAGAGCATCGGTGTACAAATCCGAAGGTCGTGGGTTCGAATCCCAGCGAGGTCGGAAATTAATTTTTCCGAATTTATTCCTAAGGGACTTCTCCCGGAATTGCCTCCTTCTAAGCACTATAACTTTCTTTCATTTCTATATCATGTTTATCATAGTGCCATGCGGTCTTCATATTCATATCTTTACATTATTCTATTACCGCAACCTTAACATCTATTTCACCCCGACCTGCTCCCAGTCTGGCCTTGTAGCTCAGCTGGTAGAGCATCGGTGTACAAATCCGAAGGTCGTGGGTTCGAATCCCAGCGAGGTCGGAAATTAATTTTTCCGAATTTATTCCTAAGGGACTTCTCCCGGAATTGCCTCCTTCTAAGCACTATAACTTTCTTTCATTTCTATATCGTGTTTATCATAGTGCCATGCGGTCTTCATATTCATATCTTTACATTATTCTATTACCGCAACCTTAACATCTATTTCACCCCGACCTGCTCCCAGTCTGGCCTTGTAGCTCAGCTGGTAGAGCATCGGTGTACAAATCCGAAGGTCGTGGGTTCGAATCCCAGCGAGGTCGGAAATTAATTTTTCCGAATTTATTCCTAAGGGACTTCTCCCGGAATTGCCTCCTTCTAAGCACTATAACTTTCTTTCATTTCTATATCATGTTTATCATAGTGCCATGCGGTCTTCATATTCATATCTTTACATTATTCTATTACCGCAACCTTAACATCTATTTCACCCCGACCTGCTCCCAGTCTGGCCTTGTAGCTCAGCTGGTAGAGCATCGGTGTACAAATCCGAAGGTCGTGGGTTCGAATCCCAGCGAGGTCGGAAATTAATTTTTCCGAATTTATTCCTAAGGGACTTCTCCCGGAATTGCCTCCTTCTAAGCACTATAACTTTCTTTCATTTCTATATCGTGTTTATCATAGTGCCATGCGGTCTTCATATTCATATCTTTACATTATTCTATTACCGCAACCTTAACATCTATTTCACCCCGACCTGCTCCCAGTCTGGCCTTGTAGCTCAGCTGGTAGAGCATCGGTGTACAAATCCGAAGGTCGTGGGTTCGAATCCCAGCGAGGTCGGAAATTAATTTTTCCGAATTTATTCCTAAGGGACTTCTCCCGGAATTGCCTCCTTCTAAGCACTATAACTTTCTTTCATTTCTATATCATGTTTATCATAGTGCCATGCGGTCTTCATATTCATATCTTTACATTATTCTATTACCGCAACCTTAACATCTATTTCACCCCGACCTGCTCCCAGTCTGGCCTTGTAGCTCAGCTGGTAGAGCATCGGTGTACAAATCCGAAGGTCGTGGGTTCGAATCCCAGCGAGGTCGGAAATTAATTTTTCCGAATTTATTCCTAAGGGACTTCTCCCGGAATTGCCTCCTTCTAAGCACTATAACTTTCTTTCATTTCTATATCGTGTTTATCATAGTGCCATGCGGTCTTCATATTCATATCTTTACATTATTCTATTACCGCAACCTTAACATCTATTTCACCCCGACCTGCTCCCAGTCTGGCCTTGTAGCTCAGCTGGTAGAGCATCGGTGTACAAATCCGAAGGTCGTGGGTTCGAATCCCAGCGAGGTCGGAAATTAATTTTTCCGAATTTATTCCTAAGGGACTTCTCCCGGAATTGCCTCCTTCTAAGCACTATAACTTTCTTTCATTTCTATATCATGTTTATCATAGTGCCATGCGGTCTTCATATTCATATCTTTACATTATTCTATTACCGCAACCTTAACATCTATTTCACCCCGACCTGCTCCCAGTCTGGCCTTGTAGCTCAGCTGGTAGAGCATCGGTGTACAAATCCGAAGGTCGTGGGTTCGAATCCCAGCGAGGTCGGAAATTAATTTTTCCGAATTTATTCCTAAGGGACTTCTCCCGGAATTGCCTCCTTCTAAGCACTATAACTTTCTTTCATTTCTATATCGTGTTTATCATAGTGCCATGCGGTCTTCATATTCATATCTTTACATTATTCTATTACCGCAACCTTAACATCTATTTCACCCCGACCTGCTCCCAGTCTGGCCTTGTAGCTCAGCTGGTAGAGCATCGGTGTACAAATCCGAAGGTCGTGGGTTCGAATCCCAGCGAGGTCGGAAATTAATTTTTCCGAATTTATTCCTAAGGGACTTCTCCCGGAATTGCCTCCTTCTAAGCACTATAACTTTCTTTCATTTCTATATCATGTTTATCATAGTGCCATGCGGTCTTCATATTCATATCTTTACATTATTCTATTACCGCAACCTTAACATCTATTTCACCCCGACCTGCTCCCAGTCTGGCCTTGTAGCTCAGCTGGTAGAGCATCGGTGTACAAATCCGAAGGTCGTGGGTTCGAATCCCAGCGAGGTCGGAAATTAATTTTTCCGAATTTATTCCTAAGGGACTTCTCCCGGAATTGCCTCCTTCTAAGCACTATAACTTTCTTTCATTTCTATATC